TTGCCCAGATTTAACTATTTCATAAAGTTCAATAAAGAAAGGACTTATGTCATAACCTATATTTGAATGATTCTAAAAATTATTATTGCGGGCTATGTCACCCGCTCTGATTATCGTACACTTATATTGAAATCATATCTACGTCTTAGAAATAATGGTTTTAGAATATACATTGGTCATCAATGCTGTAAGATCTATGATTACTTCAATCTGAAATGTGGAAGATCCAACGACAAACATAAAAAATATTGTAAATATGTACATGTTTGATCTGTGATGGTAGTCATGAGACTGATCAGTGCAATAGTCAAACATAGAAATGTTTAAACTGTGTGCTCTATAACCAGAAATTTTATAAGGATAGAGCCTCCGATCATTGTGCTTCTAAGATGAGAATTAAAAATAAAACAAAAGTAATAAAAATAAACCTAGAAAGCTGTGGATTACTCAAGGTCTTATGATTTCGTGTAAGACTAAAAGTTCCTATATAAGATCTGGAAATTAGATAAGTACAATGTTGAACTAAAGTGTCAATAGTTTAATTAAACTGCTAAATGTAGTTTTGAGTCTGAAAGAGGGAAAAATTATTATAATGATAGTAAAAAACTTTGGCAGTACTTGTATGTTAATGGTAAACTTGGTAAAGGTAAAGTGGATAATAATCTAGAATACATTATTTGTGTTGAAGAAATCATTACGGATAACAAGTGATATAGGTGAAAGTTGCAAATAAAATAGGCACTCATAATCAAATTAATATCAACGAAACCGTTGAACATAGTTGTAATAGTATATTTTTCGTAACAACAGATAAGTATGAAATTGAAAAAATCATACACGATTTAAAGAACAAAGCTGGAGGAGTTAATAATATTCATAGCAAAGTACTGAAAGTATTCCTTTGGAATATCTTTTTAATTTAAAGTGGAAATTATCCCAATCTTCAAATCCGGTAATAAACTTCTCACTACTAACTACAGACCTATTTCCCTCTTATCTAACCTATTTTCCTCTTAGCAAATTCATTAATTAACGCGATGTCAAATTGCATACATTGCAATAACGCAGAACATAGTCTAAGCAATTGTCCTTCATTTCTACAGTTATCAGCTAAACTGCGTTTTGATTGGGGGAAGCAAACAAGTGCTTGCATCAATTGCCTACGCAAAGGACATACAGTATGTCTAAATGCTCATCGAAATCTCGTTGCCGTATATGTCATCAATCGCACCACTCTCATCTACATTTCGCCACCGTTGGAACTACAAATTATCCATTTGTACAAAAGTTAGAACCTAAAGAGAAAGACCAAACATCTGTGCCGTTTACTTCGTCGAATCCATCGCATCATTCACCAACCAATCCATGAGTTTCACTCATCGCATGCACACGCAAAAGAGCGATAATACCAACAGCCTTACTTTACATACAGGACAAATTTGGAGTGATGCAGCCAGCTCGTGCATTATTGGATTCATGTTCCGAATTAAATTTCATCACCGAGGAAACAGCGAAGCGGTTGCAGCTTAAAAGGTTTTTCTCACATCAGGAAATCTCAGGTATTTCAGATATTCGTTCTAATTCAAAGTATGCAGTAAATGCGAAAATCAAATCGCGAATTGGAAATTTTACTTGTATATCGCAATTTGCTATAACTAAACAGATCACAATACACATACCAAGTAGTTTTATCAACACTTCTAAATGGGATATTCCTGCAAACCTTCAGCTTGCGGATCCTTACTTCTACAAACCGCAACGTATAGATTTATTGTTTAATGCAGAAATATTTTTCTTTCAATTTCGGTTACCATTTAAGGTTTCGCCTACAATATTAGGCACCTCTTTCCACAATGCCAGGAAAAGATTTATCGCTCTTGAACGACGTCTATCTAACTACAAATTATTAAAGAATATGTATGCAGATTTTATAAAAGAATACATTGAACTTGGACACATGGTTGCTACAAAAAACTTTTTCGTCCACAAAGTACTACGACCAAGCTTCGGGTTGTATTCGACGCCTCTGCGCGCACTACTTCTGATCGCTCATTAAATGAAATACTTGTGGTCGGATCAACAATTGAACCAGAACTAATCATGACATTATTGTCATTTCGCTTGTATCCTTACGTATTAACCGCCGATATATCAAAAATGTATCGGAAATTTTTGATTGACGAACAAGATCAACGATATCAACTAATTTTATGGAGAAACGAACCCTATGAGCCATTGCAGTTGTTTCAACTCAAAACTGTAACTTATGGTTTGGCTTCTGCACCATTCCTCGCGATTCGCAGTTTATTTCATATTGCTGACGTCAATAAAGATGTCTTTCCACTTGCATCGTCTGCTATTCGTGAAAGCTTTTATGTTGACGATTTGTTAACTGGTGCAGAAATCATAGACAATTTACAAAAATTAAAAATTGAAATTATAGAAGTTCTTCGTTCTCATGGTCTTTCTCTTACTAAATGGCACTCGAATTCTACACAATTATGTGACGCATCTTATAAGGAAGTCATAATTAAAACAACTGAAGAAAATATTACCAAAGCTCTAGGTACATCGTGGAAACCTTTAGCTGACACCCTTTTTTATCGCTATGAGTTAACAGATATGCAGTCAGTTACTAAGCGATCTGTCTTATCTCCAAAATATTTGATATCCTCGGTTTGTTGAGCCCCGTGATCATACGTGGCAAAATATTAATGCAAGAAATTTGGATTCGCCGATTAGATTGGGATGAAACACTACCACCCGATCTACATAACATACAAACAAGATTAAGGCCGATTTAAACTCCATTAATAAAATCGGAGTTCCCCGCTAGGTACAAACAACATCCAATTCTGATTGTGAATTTCATGGTTTCGCTGACGCATCAACGCGCGCGTATGGGCTTATACGTTCTAAGATAAATCACACCTACAAAACAACATTACTTATTGCGAAATCTAAAGTAGCGCCTATTAAAGCACAATCGCTTCCTCGTTTGGAGCTACGTGCAGCACTGTTACTGAGTAGGACTTGGCAAAAAACTAAGGAGAAGTTAGTAATATTCAGCACCAATATTTATTTTTGGACTGACTCAGAAATAGTGCTGAAGTGGCTCAACACTCATGCGGCAACCTTAAATTGCTTTATTGCCAATCGGGTCTCTGAAATTCAAGAAATTTCATCTGGCATTAACTGGAAACATGTACCAAGTACGCATAATCCTGCAGACTTTGTTTCACGTGGGTGCAGTGCTCAAAATCTTGTAGCGACAATTTGGTTCTCTGGCCCAGAGTTTCTAATGAAAAATTCGTCAGAATGGCCTGTAAGCAAGAAGGAAGCTAAAATTAAAATGCACGACATGGAACAGCGAAAAGGAATTAACCTCAAGTGTAGCAAAAGCAGCAACGAGGGAAATGTTATCAACGTCATTATCAACCGCTGTTTATCGTACCACCGATTACTTCGCACAGTTACATACATTTTTCGTGTTTTCAACAAAGTTGCTGTCAACAAGCAACTCACCCCAGCAATGATACTTCGTCTACCGGTAGAGGAGCTTGATCAGACTCGGTGGAGAATCATCATCGCTATTCAACAGATCGAATTCGTGGATGAAATTGAAAGACTTCAAAAACAACAACAAGTTAAATCGTTCATACAGAAGCTGACTCCTTTTCTACATCAAATGAATCTTAACGGAGTGACAGTTTCAGTGCTCAGAGTCGGTGGCCGTTTGTCAAAAGCACCCATACCTTTTGATGCAAAATTTCCCGCACTTCTTCCGAAAGATCATAGATTTACATCATTGTACATAGAGTATCTTCATCGAAAGCATTTACATGCTGGCCCAAAGGTTTTAATAAGTCTGTTGCGTCAGCGAGTATGGGTTATAAATGCCCGCACATGCAGAATTAGTATCCGATTTGTCTACTAATAATTTTATACTTTGTCTAAAACGCTTTGTAGAAAGATGCGGAATACCTCAACGCATTTACTGCGACAACGTCACAAATTTCGTCGGTGCTCAAGCCAAATTGAAGGATCTTCATCAACAGTTCTTCAATAAAGCGGTTACTGATGACATCACTAATTACAGCACCAACACTGGGTTCGAGTTTCGTTTTACTCCGCCTCGCGCTCCGCATTTCGGAGGTTTATGGGGAGGCGGCAGTAAAATCGGTGAAGTCCATTTTGATAAAAAACATATCAAATGCACACCTAACATATGAAGAACTGCAGATCGTTGTGGTTGAAGTTGAAGCTATCTTAAACTCTCGCCCGCTCAGGCCTCTTTCAAATGATCCTAATGATGGCGAAGCGTTAACCCCAGCTCATCTATTGATCGGAACATCATTACTGTCGATGCCAGACAAAGCCATCAATATCAACACTGTATCTTCGTTAACGCAATGACAACGGGTGTCGCATTTGAAGCAGCGTTTCTGGGACCTATGGGCACACGACTATATTCTTATCCTACAACAACGCTCCAAGTGGTTGCAGCCGCAGGCCAACATCGAAATTGGTCAAATGATCATCATCCATGAAACCAACTTGCCTCCACAACAGTGGTCACTTGACAGAATTATCGATATCGCTCCAGGTTCAGATGGCAAAGTGAGGGTTGTGGATATCAAAACTACAAAAGGGATTATACGGAGAGCAGTCCATAAAGTTGCACCATTACCTATTTCCGATGGAGCATGTTTGGTCTGAAGTATGACACTGTGCAAAATCGGATGACCGTGACCGTGAATTAGGCTATTCACCTCTGTGAGAGCACCGCTTATGCATATGCACACAAATTCTTTCATTCATATACATATGTTTCGATTTTCTATGATTTGTACATAATCTCACTTTTTGCTTTGCAATTTGTAAGTAGGTACATAAGCACATACACATGTACACATACATAATACATATTTTCGTACCTACGCCCGCATAAGCATATACGCATATGCTTACATATGTAGGTAGGTAATGAGAAAATAAGCACAAGACGGGATAAAAACCCGTGCTAGCATAAGATTAAGCACATTATTAATAGAGCATTAGGAGTGTTAAGAGTGAAAATAAAATTATATGTAAAATTAAATTAAATAAAATCAAAATTGTAAATTGGACATTAATCTATTTTTGGGCTAGAACAATCAGCTTACCCTAAATGTTGATAAGTCTACTTTTGTTAACTTTGGAAGTTATTCCGATAGTGTTCCTAATGACTTGCAATTATTCGTTAATGATATTAAATTAGAAAGAGTAGTAAATTGCAAATATTGAGGTATTTACTTTGACTGTCATATGAAGTGGGACAAGCATATTATTGAATTAATGAAGAAAGTCAAATATTTTACGATCTTGTTCTATAAATTGAGTAAAGTGCTTAAACCTGTTATCTTGAAATCGATATATCATGGACTTCTTGAAAGTGTCATAAACTATGGAATAATTGCATGGGGTGGTGCTTATGATAATACTTGCGAAATTACAAAATAAATTGATAAGTAAAATGAGAATAGAATATGATCTGCTTGCACCTTTAAAAATTAAACATTATTTTACTGTTAATGCTTTATCTTACTACTATGATGATTGTAAACTACTTTATTATGAGAGGAAAATAAATACACGAACTAGATAGATATCACTACCGAAAATGAATAAAACACTAATCCGTATAATGTGACTGTAAAATATTTTAATCTACTTCCTAATAATCTTAAAATTCTTAATTGTACTAAGAGAACGTTGAATAAGGTTATTGGGAAGTGGATTAGAACTATTGTAATTTAAATTATGTTATGTATTATTCTGACTAATTTTTAGTATAACTAGACTAAGAATGATTTCTTATTATATGTTGTACAAGTATGTTATGCACTAATACAATATATTTATAATGTTATGGTGTATGATATTGCTTATCTCTATCTATGCACTGGTAGAGCAGGTTCCGAGATATGGGTTTTTAACTAAATATGAGCAGAGCCACGCACATTGTCCAATTTTAATACCGGCTTCTATAATGCTTTAGGTAATTTATGTATATTTTTAAAAATTCATTTAACACACTTTGCACATAACACATATTCAAGTCACTTAGTTGTTGTTGTTGTAGCGGCAAAATTCTGTAGAATTCAGATAACTTAGCTCTAAATACCAGTTCAGGGTGTTAAACATTTGAACAAAAATACACTGAAGAAATGTAACAGTCACAAATTCTTTTGCGCCGCGATCTGATGGTATGGACGAATATCGGAGATCGTAGCCTTCGCCCGCGCTTCAAAAAAATAACCCTGGTCAGTCCAAAACCGGGGTGTTCATAATCCAATCACGTCAAACTCCTTTCTGCACTGGGGGCCTTCGGGCGCGATTCAAAAAAATAACCCTGGTCGGTCCAAAACCAGGATGTTCATAATTCAATCACGTCAAACTCCTTTTCGCGGCTCTCAACTTCGATAATAATTTTTATCACGATGCAGAGTATGTGTAATTATTAATATCACAATAAAAGTGCACTAACATTGATATTTTAATATACATTTTCAGAAACATTTATGAAGAAGAGGAGTAAATACACCAAAAACTTGAACAATATGTAATTTTTCCAAAGAAAAAAATAAAACAATTAAGTTAAATGTATCACAACTTTTTATATTTAATGCATATTTATAAAAAAAAATAAAAAAAAAACGTTTTAAACTTCATTTTTGAGGCTTCCTTAGTTGGGAGACCTAAACTATACAGTTACCATGCTTTATTTTATCATGTTGAGAACAAAATTTGTGTTATTGTTGTGAGTGTTTGACGCTTTCATTTATTGAATTATCGCACTTTTAGTTCAACATAACCATTATTAGGGGTGTGGGTGGTATTAAAATCCGATTTCAACCATTTTTACAATTTCGAATGCTTAAGCATATGATTAGATAAAGTGATTTGGAGGTAATGTATATTAAACCTATTAATTACAGTATTTACATATAATCCCACCGTAATTAATATCTTACTGTATATGATAATTTAGTTTTTACTGTTATCTATGAGTGTTCTGTAACGGTTCAAACTATCGAAGTTTAGTCTGAATACTCATATTAATTCCAAGGTGATCTTTGGCATACCTAGTATCATGTTACAGTTTGTATGTGCTAACTTAGCTGTGGTTTGGAAAAGTTTCAGTATTGTTCGAAGCCCATATTTTGGAATAGATGAAATGGAAAATATTTCTTCTACAACTTTCTAAACAATCTACTGAAAAACGATTTTACAAAAGTAGTTTTCAGAAGGCAGAGTTGCCCTGGCTAATTGCAAATTTTATCTTTATCGCAGAATACGACTTTTTGTCCAAAATTCCGTAAAATATTCCAATACATTTTTTTGAAAATAAAACTACTACGTTTGTTCAGAATTAGTTAACAATTCTTCAACGCTCGAATGCTTGGTACGTACTCACTGCCGCAGCATGTTTTTTTTTTTTTTGGTTATCTAGTCACCTAGTTAGATACCGGAATTTTCCGAGGCTCTAGAATCGTTGCACTTCGCCATTAAGTCTAAACAACAATTTATTCAGATTGAACTTTATGACTGTTTTGGTTTTATAACGATTGATAAAAAAATTAAAAATAAAACAATTTATTTATTTTATTATGCATACCGTGAATTACAAATTCCTAATTTAATTACCACATCACTTGCGCGCTGCTTTAAATTAGCATAATAACTAATTTTTACCAACCACATGCTTTAATAACTACAAAGTAGCAAATAAATGTTTTCAAAAATCAAATAACTTAGTAAATACATATAAACGCAAATCCATTAATATTTAAATGACGTTGGCCTATAAACACAGCCGGCAGATAAAATGAAAGTAAGATATTTTATAAAAAAAAAAATGAGGACTATACTTTTTGTGAGTGTAAATATTCAAGAAAACCAATAGTAATTAAACCAAATGTATTAGAAGTACAAAATTTCGAATATTAAATATTCAACTGAATTAAAACGTATTAACAATTCATCATACATACACAAGTAAACATTAAGCGGCTGTTGCAACAAAAAGGGACACGAACAATGTGCCATTTCGATCGATGGACAGACCATTGTGTTAGCAAATCGACGAAACAGATAAATTTATGTAATGCAAAGAGTGTAATTGCAAGTCAAATTGATAACATCAGCAGCCCTTATACAAAAAGTCGTACAGTTAATCTGCATTTTTAAGTGAGTAGATAAACCTAATCTAGCAAATGTCTTTAAATCGCATGCTGAAGCAATCGGTTTTTATTTAGCCTGGAACTAGAGAACGGTTAGTCTTACAGAAGGCAAGAATCCCTCTATACCTCTTGTGATTTACCTTGAGCAAGAAGCTGCTTCAAATAATATTGAAATATTTACGGTTAATATGTGTTCAAATTCCACACACGAGATCAAATAGTACAGTATTAAATCAGATGGCAATAGTACTCCGACCCAATATCTATCTGTTGATATTGGGACAAGATTAAACGCATCATCCCGACAATTTGATAATAGAGCCAGGCGTTCCTTAACTATTACCTAGCGCAGGGTCAGTGAACTAAAGTCTTGAATCTTTCCTAAGGAGGCTGCACTTCAGAGTAATAGTTTTGCTATATCCTTAATTAATTGCAATTTCAAGTCAATCAAAGACCAATTTGGTTACGAAATGATAATGACATCAAGCGCCGACTTACTGGCAGACCTAAATGAAGTGGCAGTTTTACCTCAAGTTCTGGCTTGAGTGCTGAAATGAGTACAAAACGAAATTAAATGCAAAATGAATTAAATTGATACTTACAAAATGTTGCTGCCGCTTTTGTTTAGGCAAGTCAGTTAGTGTATGGATTTTTCAGAAAAAGTCGTTACCTTTGAAATTATATCAATTTGATATGCATGATATGTTTGAAGAACTTATTAACACCTAAAGGGACAAAACTAGCTTACTTGTGGCACTATATACAGACCACTGCAGACCTCAGAGCATCTATATATCGTGGATATAGTTCGTTCAGAGAATTGCGCTTGTGCGACATGGAAGCGGAAACTCCGCAGCACCTGCATCTTGAATGCATAACACTCAACAAAACAAGTAAGGAAGGGCTAAGTTCGGATGTAACCGAACATTTTATACTCTCGCAAAGTCAAATAGTATACTCGTTTAAGATTTCTTTGTGGATTGACTGATATTTTCGGTAGAAGGTCAACTATAAGCAATGGGGTCCACATATTTAGTACTTAGGGGCTTAAACAGTTTTGGTTCGATTTTGACAACTTTTGGTCACAAGGTGGCATACTTTAATCGCATTATTCACGCAAAGTTTTATCCCGATACAGTCATTGTTGCCTGATTTGCATAGTGGAAAGTGAAAGAATCAGATGGAATTTAAAATGGTGTTATATGGGCAATAGGCGTGGTTGTAGTCCGATTTCGCCCATTTTCGCACTATGACATAGAAACATAAAAAGAACGTTATGCACCGAATTTGGTTGAAATCGGTTGAACAGATCTCAAGATATGGGTTTTCACCTAAAAGTGGGCTGTAATAAAATACATGCACGAATGTTGTAGGTCGAAGTGTTTTGATAGTTTAAATAAAAAAAGGTTAAAAACTAACAAGTAAGGAAGGGCTAAGTTCGGATGTAACCGAACATTTTATA